CATATTAGGTAATTCCGTAAATTTTATTTAAGGAAATAATGAAAAGCAATAATAATAGTTTATGTTTAGTTTAATAAAAAGTATATTATATGTTTATATGGACCAACATTTTTCTCTAGTAAATTTGAGAAGCATTCTCATGATGACACGTGGCTACCAAAACATGTTGTAATGCTTCTCAAATAATATATAAGGGATAGAGAGAGAAATCATAGAGATCGCGAAAGATCATATTCATACGATCATTTCCACTTCCTTCGTCCAAAAATGCCATGCTTGCCTCGTTTGCCTCCAAACATGCCGTGCTTGCCACGCTTATGCTTCCCTCCAAACATACCGTGCTTCCCTCGCTTGTACTTCCCTCCACCGAAAAAACCTTTCTTGTACTTACCACCGTGATGGTGGCCATAACCACCGTGATGGCCCGCGTGGTGACTTCCCATTGCAGCTGCCGCAGCTGTTGCTGCTCCAGCTATCAACCCCCCGACTCCTCCTCCAAGGCCTATTCACAAGATGTACAAATGATTCGAGTGAACCGACCAGAACCAAATTTAGCACAAACTAAACTGAAACTATTTTTAAACGGAGGGGTTTCATATACGTATCTCCAAACCAACCCAAACCCAACCCAGCCCACATGTATTCTACTTGAATATGTTAACACAAAAATGTAAGAAATTTATATTTGAATAATAAATAAATACGTACCATGTTTACTAGAAACAAAAGAGTTAGAATTAATTTTTTGGGGATTAAATAGACCAAACTGAAATTATCATTTAAATTTTCTCAAAATGAAAAATTCTCGATTTAAAATGAAAATAACATCAAACAAACGTGTAGGAAGACATAAAAAGCCACTTCTACAACAGTTATACCGCTATAATCCTAACCAAATCAATTTATAATCAAAAGGTGTGTGACCTTCAAATACACATAAAACTACTTTAGCATCTTTACTTGTTGGAGTCTAATTGCTTAAATGGGACTATAGACCTTTACCAACGAAGAACAAAAGAAGACTATGCACGTACACCATATACAAAATTCCTCAAGATATGATCTGAGAAACTATCCTCTTTGGATTAAAGAAGAAAGATCAGCAAAAGAAAATGATATTCACTTGTCTTTTAAATTAAATGCATATGAGACCTAGACAGGACCTAAAACATACAACTACAAACCACAATCGATCGGACTACTAAACTGTTCATTTCAATTCCAAGGCGAGGTTAATTAAAGAGACATGAGACAGAAATTAAATTAAATAAAAAACCTGGACGGTGAGGACCAGGGTAACCGGCGGGAGGATAAGCGCCAGGAGGAGGTGGATACGCAGCAGGTGGATAGCCCTGCGGGGGGTAACCCTGTGGAGGGTACCCTTGCTGAGGGTAACCATGCGGTGGTGGATAAGCTCCCGGCGGAGGAGGAGGATAAGCTCCCGGTGGATACCCATGGCCAGGATGATTATGATGTGAGAAGAATCCTTTGTCTTGTTCGTGATGCTTGTCTTTACCCATTCTATAATATCAAAAAGATATTAATAAAAAATATTTAAAACAAATTAGATTCATAAAAACTAAAACAATAGTAGATGAAACTCAAGATGCGATTACAAGAGCTTTTGAATTTTTACCTGATTTGAAATCAAGAGGCAGAGAGATAAGATGATTTATATGAAACGATAATACAAGATTTCGTAAACTGTAGTTATATACTGTAAGAGATTTAGATACACAAACATGTATATGTAGCGGAAAGAGCTCTTGGCTATTGATTTGAAGCGAAATGGACGCGTTGATGTATACTCGTTTTAACAACGCATCTCGTATCTTGTGTAGGTAAATGACACGTGTAAATTTGTACTATAATAATAGTGCTGACCAATTCATTTCCAAATAATATAATAACAACGAAATCAACACAGAATATAAAAGATATTTTAGCAAGTTAGTTTCCCCCACGATATAATAATAAGATACATCCATCATCCATCATCCATCATCCATCATCCATCTGTTGATGTAAGATGTCCGTCCTGAAATAGTCGCTGATGTAGTTGCTGAGACATATGTCGTGTTGAATGGTGAAAACCATGTGGAATCAAGATGCTGAGCTGAAGTCGTATAAATTTGAAGAGCAAGGGTGTATCTTAGAGAAAAGACAAGATAAATAAACTTGAGGAACAAGTTTATGACTTAAAGAAAAGTCTGACACGACACTGAACGAATCGGAAAAATCTCCTATTCGCGAACAGGAGACCAAAGGCGACGGCACCGAAAGGGTCAACTTGGCAACGAGCGACCAGGCCGACTCGACAAACGAAGACGCCGACGTCCATCCTAGGAGAAGAAAAACTCGTAGTCCTCAACCGGAGTCTTCTCCCGAACGTTCCTTTACTTGAGACGAAGGGGAACTCGACTTCGCGCGATAGGCAAAAACTGCCGAGGAGCGATCTCCGGTCACTCGCAGCAAACGCCGACAAGGTCGGAAAACTGCTGGCGATCAGACCGAGATTTGCGATCTCCGCGAATACATTACCAAAACGGCCGCAGCGGTAAAAGCGGTGAAATCTAAGATTCACCATGTTACCAGCGCCGCACCCGAGATCGATCGGCTACTGTACGAGTCTCGGAAAACGCCCTTCACGGCCCGCATCACCGATATCAAACTGCCCGATCCCGGAAAGCTTAAGGTGCCAACTTACGACGGGACGTCCGATCCCAAAGCGCACCTGCAAGCGTTCCAGATCACCATGGGACGAGCCAAGCTCAAGGACCACGAAAAAGACGCAGGCTACTGCCGCCTCTTCGTCGAAAACCTAGAAGGAGCTGCGCTCGAATGGTTCGCCAAACTTAGGCGAANCGAAAAAGACGCAGGCTACTGCCGCCTCTTCGTCGAAAACCTAGAAGGAGCTGCGCTCGAATGGTTCGCCAAACTTAGGCGAAATTCGATCGGAAGTTTCCGTCGACTGGCTTCGGAATTCCTGAAGCAGTACTCGATGTTCATTAACCCGGAAACCTCCGACGCCGATCTCTGGAGCTTGGTGCACGAGGAAGACGAACCCTCCGCGATTTCATGAGTAGGTTCAAACTCGTCATGGCTAGGGTTAGCGGGATTAGCGACAAAGCCGCCATCGACGCGTTAAGGAAATCGCTCTGGTATAAATCGAAGTTCCGCAAATGGATAACTCTCGAGAAACCGCGGACGATCCATGACGCGCTCCATAAGGCCACTGATTTCACAACCATTGAAGAGGAAACTAAAATCCTGTCTGAGAAGCATAAGCCGACGAAAACATCCGCGAAGGATAACGCGTCCGTGCAGAAGCAGAAAAAGAAAAGCTCTCGTACGATAAATTCATCCATCACGAGGGACATGATCTCCGAGGGGCGCATTACTACGCCATCAATTCCGGTTCGGAGCAAGGGCGAACTACGGGTAAAACGTGGACGAGAAATTCGAATTACGACGAGAATTATTTCTGCGATCTCCACCAAACCCACGGGCACTCCACCGTGAATTGTAAAGTTCTCGGCGCCAGACTGGCCGCAAAGTTAGTCGCGGGAGAACTTTTCGAGATATCTAGTGTCAAGGATCTCATCCGCGATTCGGACCGCGTCCAGAGGAATGACAAAAACACGCAAACCCCGCCTCAGGGAAATCAGTCGGGCGAAAAACGCGGACGAAAAGTAGACGAGAAGGGTAACGATGCTAACCGCCAAAAAATCAACATGATCATCTGCGAATCGCCATACTTTAACGACACCGTCTCGTCAATAAAATCCTACCAACGTAAAGCCAAAACTGGCTCGAGTTGGAAGGTGCCGATGGACGATTCTCCGACAGGGGTAATCTCCTTCGACGATGCTGAAACCGGTGGAATTGACCAACCGCATGCCGATCCCCTTGTCATCGATTTGGTGATAAGCGATCTAGAGGTCGCTCGAATCCTGGTTGATACCGGAAGCACGGTCAACGTCATCTTCCGCAACACGCTAGCACGCATGGGAATCGACCTCTTGGAAGTCGAGCCGATTCCAAAACCACTGACTAGTTTCTCCGGCGAAACGTCAATGACCCTTGGATCAATCCGACTACCGGTCGTCGCGAAAGAAGTGACGAAAATCGTGAACTTCGCGGTAGTCGATTTCCCGGCTATCTACAACGTGATTATGGGCACGCCTTGGATAAATTCCATGAAGGCGGTTCTGTCCACGTATCACTTAGGCATCAAATTCCCGACGCCTACGGGAGTCGCAGTAATTTGGGGATGCCAAAGACAATCGCGATCTTGCTTCCTGGCCGAACATAAGCTGCGGCAATTGGCGGTCGCGATCGTGAAACCAAAACGGGCAAAGGTCACACCACCGCCCGCAGACGACGACCCGAAGCAAGCAACGGCCGAGAAACCAGAAGTTTCCGCACCCATCGCTTCCACCCAACAGGAGGAGACAATCCCGGACAAAGACATCGATCCCGCGACTGAAGCGATCGAGAAGTCTACGATAGCCGAGTAAGCACACTCGCGCAAACAATCAGAACTACGAGATGACTTGATTTCCGAAAGGAATACGTAGGCAGCTCGCCTAAAGACGAGTTCAGCTATCCCCCCTTCCAAAACGGGGGGGGGGGGGGAGTGGGTGAGTATACGAGTATTCGTATACTCCCGAAATTTTTTACAAAATATCTCTTAGCTTTGTAATCGAAAAATTTTCGAAAATTTTAATAAAGACAAAGTTAGAATATCTCTGCTACCATCGAAAAACGCAAATCCGGAAAATCGCTTCCGCAGTAACAACTACTCAATCATTTTTATAAAAATTCGCATATCAAAATATTTTCGGAAAGAACGGGCGAGACGTCGCCTAAATTCTCAAAGAAAAATATATCCCCAAAGTCCATCCGCGCTATAAAAACACGAATGCTCGGCGATTGGCCCTGTCGAGCACGCTAGCCGTCCTAAACAAACGCACCAACCTATCGGTCCGCATACATCCGACGAGGATAAAATAGCGCGCTATAAAAGAAATCCAAAATTTTGGTCAGCACTTCCGGGCAACTTAGAAATTGTTCCCGGTGAGATGCTCGGTTCCAACCATACGAATCGTATAAGCCGAGAACCTGTCGCGGATTCTAAATCGGTATGGAATCAGGTTAAAATCGCAACGGGCAAAACAAAAGCCGATTAGTCATCGCACAGCCCCATACCGAAAGTAAACCTAGGTATTTCCCTAAACCCAGCACACTGGTCGCTAACGTCTCAAGGCATGAATCGAGATCCTAAAGGCATGTCTCTTCGCCCACATCTAAACACTCGCGAAAATCAAAATCTCCCGAGTTAACGAATCGGACGATTTACACCGAAGAGTTAGGTACGAGATGACAACTCGTATTCTTTCCTCTACGTCTAACATAAAAAACGAATTTCATACTTAGAAAATATTTTCTTATTAAAAGCATCCAAATGCACACCGCCCAGCGGTAGGGATTCAAAGCCACCAACGGCCAGTCCCGGAAAAACAACGACAAATCGAAAAACTAAGAACATCACACATCAAAGTCATCAAACGTAGGCTGATCGACTTCACCATCTACGTCCGAAATCCCAGGACCGACTTCAACCGAATCCGGCGACACCACGATGGGGTTCCATTGATCCCACATGCGCGCCTTAAGGTCAAAAAATTCAGACTGCAAATCTCTTTCCCGACCCAAATTTTCCCATCGCACGAGGGATTCCTTAGCAAACGAATACCCTTCATTCTGAGTCAGGGATAACCCATGAACGATCCCGCGACATTCGCGATAATCACCATGCGCTCGTTGAACGGCTTCCGCATCCGAACAACCGGTTGCGAATCGCTCGCGACGAACCTTCATCTCCTCAGCAACCTCTCGTTTGCCCGCACGACGAGCACGGCGAATTCTTTGGTCAGAAAGCTCTTTGGCACGACGAGACCTGGTCGCGCTCTCATCCCTCACGCGAGCAACCTCCCTCGCGACCATTTCTTTGGCTTGGTTGGCCTCGACCTCTGCCCGAAGACGAGCAACTTCCTTTTCGGCCATGTTCGCTCGAAACTCGGCAAGGCGAGCCTCAGCAGTACGGTTGTCCAGGGCTCGGCTCATGATAAGGAAACCCTACCAAAGAGAAGAATTAAGCCATGTCATAAAAACTGCTCGAAAAAGAAAATAATAAACGCACGTACCTCCTTTGCTATCTCAGACCCCCTAGTAAGCTCTGGAACTTGATCATGGTCAATGTCCGGAAAATGGGAGGTCGATGATCCGCCCGCCCTCGTCCAGAAGCCATCTTCCGCCTGACTATCAAGAAAATCCTTGAGAATATTATCAGGAGAAGTCGCGCGCTCAGAGTCATCGTCTTCAATTACCGGATTTTTATCCCTTCGGAAGTGAGATTTGCCACTCCCCATCGAGGGAACATGCGGAATGAACTCTCCGATAAACGGATCCTCTTCATAAATCGGAGAATTCGTAAAAAGACGAGATCGGAAGAGGGCAATCGCTTGACGGACACGTTGCGGAGAAAATTTGCACCAACCGACTTCACCACGTCTGAGAGAAGTGGTGATGTCCAAAAGATCCTCGGGATACGGAGGCAAAGGATTGGTCACTGCGGAAAAACAGAAAGTCATCTTAAAAAAAATAATAATAATAAGGGTTCGTGTGAATTCGAGTCGTATACCTCTCCGACCCCACGTGGTCGTAAAGAACAGAATG